AAAATTACACCCCACTTGTAATATACCCATTCTATCATTAATTTACCATTAACAATATACAGTAAATGGAAAATTGCCTACTTCTAAATAGAAATTTATGTTTGTCTTCCATATACTACATTTAAAATATTGAAAATATCTGGGCCAGCCCGTGGCTCACTTGGGATTGTGCAGTGCTGATAACACCAAGGCCACGGGTTCGGATCCCAAATAGGGATAGCTGGTTAGCTCACTGGGTGAGCGTGGTGCTGACAACACCAAGTCAAGGGTTAAGATCCCCTTACCCGTTATCTTTAAAAAAAAATAATATTGAAAATATCCACCACCACCGCCCCCCCCACTCCAGCCTGCCTTCTGCCAAATTTCACCAGAGCCTATCTTCAAGGGAACTGAAGAAGTCAAACACCAGGCCACTCACTCAAGAAACTTCAGATAACAGTAAAGCCCTGGAGACAGAGAGCAAAACATTAAAATGATAGCAGAATGGCTAAAAGGGAAAGAACATTCACCTTGTGGTGCCCTGAGAATGGCCACTTATTAAGTGCAGACCAGATACCTACAACTAAAGGTGCAATTGAAGAGCTGGAAATAGAATGAGACAAGTTACTGATCTCCTCACCACATGCATCCACCTGTGGTCTTTTTATGGGTGGCACATAAATCTGTAATAAATGACTGATTGATAATTTTTTTTTGGAATGAATGCTTTCTGATGAACCATACTGCTTCTCCTTTCAAACAGAAAAATTTATGAGAATTATAAAACATTTCCAATTTTACTTGGTTAACTCTTCCTGATATTCAAGTCTCAGGAGAAGTTTTGCCTCCTCTAGAAAGTTCCTCCCATATGCATGGCACTTAATAAGAACTTGAATGCAGAACAAATCTGACAGCTACTATTTTCTAATCAAACTTGTCTTCTAGTGTAACATCTCTGTACATGTTTCTCAGATCACTCCCCAAATTCTCATGACCCTTTTAATAGTCTTTTCAGAATATCCTGATAACACTTTTAATAACCTTTCAGAATAATCTTCTATTCTAAGACTAAGCCTCACATATACCAATTTGCATACAAATACAGTGCATAAAACATTAGATAAAACCATATATTTTGTGAATGGCAAAAGACTAAGAGAAATATAACATGTGCCTTCAGAAAAAGAATATGCGTAAGATGCGTAAGATGAGAAAGAAAACTTCAGACTTAAGAGTCAAAAGAAAGGAGAAATTCACAGAATGAGCTTCTGAATATCAGAGAAGAGTACTTTTGAGAACTATTTTTCATTCTTAGTAAGTGTAAAAGGATATAGGTTTTGAATAACATCTAAAAATTCACTGGAATAGTGAAGATCCTAATAGTTATAATAATATATAAATACATGTGTCAAAAATAATACATTAAAATATTCTAAAAGATTAAAAGCAGAATTAAGGCTCATATTTGATATAGAATAGGGAAAAATCATAGCCTGTGATATAAAAAAGACTTTTGGAAAATTCTTCCATAATGACTGAAGACATAAATAAAAATAATTAAAAATTGCAAAAAAAAAAAGTGCTTTGAAATAAATCAAGTGTGGAGGATTGAAATGAAAGTAAACTAAAAATTATTGACCATTTACTTTAAAATACAATACTATTTATACTATTTCATCAATGTCAGAAAACCAAAAATAAAAACAAACATTACTAGAGAGAGAGAGTAATAAGTGAAGGTAACATTCACGTAAAAACATAGAAAAAGGAATGAAGAAATAATAGTTCCATACATTGTGTTTATGGTCACAACTCACTTTCAAATAATTCAGATAAAAGTAATTGTCATAAACTTTCAACAACAGTATTTTGTAAGTGAGGATTACTAAAAATAAATAAATAAATATAAGATATATTCTAACTCAAGGGTAAATTATATATAATTGACATTGGAAAACAGATGTATAATATTTGAAATATAAATCTAAAAAGGAAGATTTGCAGTTTTTCTAATTCTAAAAGTTATGACAATGTGCACAAAGCCATGGAAGTGAAAATAGAATTGTGTTGTTTTTATGTTTTATGAGCCATGCATTTTTCCAAATTTTCCTCAGTTGAGAAGAGTCCCCCCAAAATATATGTCTATGTCCCAACCCCTGGTACCTATGAATGTGATCTTTTGGAAATAGGGTTCTTGCAGATGTAATTAACCTGATGATCACCAGATGAAATCATTCTGGATTTAATGGGACCTATATCCAATACCTAGTGTTCTTATAAGAGAAAGAAGAGGAAGGTTTGAGACAAAGGCACAGGGAAGACCATGTGGAGACAGAGGCACAGTGGAGTTATGCTGCCACAAGACAATAAAAGGCACAGGTTGGCAGCAGCCACCTGAAGCAGGAGAGAGGCACTGGCTGGAGTTTCCCTCGGAGCCTCCAGAGGGAACCAACCCTGCTAACACCTCGCTTTTCAATTTCCGGCCTTCAGAACTGTGAAAGAATAAATTACTCTCGTAAGCTACTCAATTTGTGATAATTCATTATTGCAGCCCTATGTAAATAATACACAAATGTTTTACAATTACTATCTCATTTTTCTCCTCACAACTCCATGAAGTGGGTTTACTACTATTATTCCATTACAGAGATGATGAAAGTAGAAAAACTAAGAATTTATATAACTTTCCAAACTTGTAGAATAGTTAAAAAAATAATAATAATAACAGGAGACTGTTTAAAAGAACATTCAGAGAGCAAAATAGATTTTGTAAATTAAAAATACCATAACAAAAATAAAAACTTCAAAATAATATTAGAAATACAAAAGTGAGAAATTTGATTAACAACAGGAGATTGTAAAATTATGAGTTAGAAAATCAGAAAACAGACTCAGGTGGTTCAAGATAATGTAATGAAGGGACTAAAATAATGCTGTCACCAAGGTGAAGAGGACCATCAAGGTAAGGCTCTCGAGTCTAAAAATAGGGGAAGCTGTTTCCACTCACAAACCTAGAGGGGGAAAACCAACCCTAGATGAATTGGAGGGATCACCTGGTGGGCATGTAAATCTTGCAGAGAGATTGAGGATGAGGTGGCAGGTCTAGTGAAAGTTGGAAAAATGAATAAAAAAGAAATATAACAACAGCACTTCTTATGGCTTAGCTATGATTTCATTTTGCAGAGACACAATAATTGATAGAATAATTAAACCAAAACTCATGATGTAAGTATATTGGGAAGATAAGAGAAATGGAAAAGGTGTATGTGTGTGTGTGTTTCTGTGTATCTGGGAGAGTTTAAGGAAAGAACTAAATCCCTCACTCCTTTTAAAGTCAGTAAACATTTTTCTACATTAAGAAATATCAAAACGAGCATATTATTTAGAATTATATACTATGATTGGGACTGTTTTGTCAGGCATATGAAGAGGAAGAAAATAATCTCTCTCTCATCAGAAGCTCACATATACCAACAAATAAAACATCAATAGAAAATCACCATTGTGGTGAAATGTGCAGGTTCTTTGGGAGATGACAGGAGGAAGCACTTTGTGTTTCGCCCATTTTGTCTTCTGCACTTGTACGCAGAAATACTCTCATTATTACCCGTGGGCAGAACGTTAGAAAAATAACTATACACAGACATGCTAAAATTAGACACCCCCCAAAAATTTTAAAAAATAAACTATTTCCCAAAATTAGTGAGCAAAATTAGACATCTTCCTTCCTTTCTTTCTTTTTTTGTGGCGACAGGCCGGTACAGGGATTGAATCCTGGTGTTATCAACACCATGCTCTTAATCAGCTAAGCTACCCCGCCAG